AGGAGAGTTGGAGGAGACTATGCTGGTAATCAGCCAAACAATGGAGGGAGTTAAGGAGGAGACTATGCTGGAAATCAGCCCATAAAATGCTGGAAACAGCCAAACAAATAGGAGGAGAGTTGGAGGAGACTATGCTGGTAATCAGCCAAACAATGGAGGGAGTTAAGGAGGAGACTATGCTGGAAATCAGCCCACAAAATGCTGGAAACAGTCAAACAAATAGGAGGAGAGTTGGAGGAGATTGAGGAACTATTCTGAAATCAACTAAATAGTTGGTGTTTTGGAGGGGATCAAGCTGAGAATTAATCAAATAGAACAAGCTGGAAGATAGTTAAATATTAGAGGGAGATATAGTGGAAAATATATTAGAAATTGGAGTAAATAAAATATGCCTTTGTGAGAAATCTGTGTAATATGTAAACTGGGAGGGAAAAAAACTAAGGTAAACTGATTTGAGGATAAGGGTCAAAGGATTAAAATTAGATAAAATGTTGTTTTATAAAATATAATAAAAATGGAGTGGTATTGAATTGAAACTAAGAATAAATGGTGATAAAATTGTAAGGTAAACACTTAACAAGAGGTTAGAATATTGTAAAAATTATTTTGATATGACTTGTATAAGATATAAGGTAAAGAAGAATAAAGATATGTTTAGAATTGTTATGCAGATGTAAAAATGAGTGAAAGTGAATTTGAAACTAATTTTGGATAGATATAATGGATCTATAATTCATCTATATAAATAGATGAAAATGTTAAATTTGAGGTAAAATTGGTTTTTTCTTAAGTTTTGAATTTCTTTTTTATCTTCTTTTTTCTTTTTTTGTTTATTTATAAAAGATGTAATGGAAATTGTGAATTGAGCTTGTGAAAGGAATGTAAGCGTGGTAACCATCTATGACCAGATCGAGATTTTTGCTCTTGAAAGTTATGTTTTTATGTTTAAATTTGAAAAAATAAATAAAAAATATTTACAAAAAAAAAAAAAAGAAGAAGAAGAAGTTCCATCCCCTCCCCTCTTTGGGGAGGAAATCCTGGCATCTGAACAGGAGGAATCACACTCATTCGGAAGTGATCCAGATGATGAACCATTGGTAAGCAAACCTATTAAACCGCTTACCCTCCCCTTAAGACTATTCATCCCAAACCAAGACAGGGAGATAAGTATCTCTACTCTAGTGGATTCAGGGTGCATCTTAGCCCGACCTTAGTAGGGAGGTTAGGGATTAACAAATTAACAAATTAACCCCCATTGCTTTCTGCCAACTAGATGGGTCAATAGCAGGAGGGGAGCCAGCTTCTCTGACCACCGAGCCTCTACACATAGGCATCCGAAGCTACGAGGAAAGGCTTACATTTATAGTGGCACCTGGCATGGAATGGCCGTTGGTTCTGGGCCTTGCATGGCTAAAAAAATGGAACCCACAAATCAATTGGAAACAAGGCATCATAAAATTTCAGAAGAAGGTGACTTTTGCTGAGTATCCACATAAAGGAATTGAGGGGGCAGAGAATCGAGAAACAGCCATGCCTGGTCATGCCACACTAATTGAGAGCATACCCATAGAATACAAGGATTTAGCTGAGGTTTTTAGCGAAAAAGCCTCAGATGAGCTCCCCCCTCCACCGTGCCACTGACTGTACAATAGAAATCTTACCCGGCGCGAAACTCCCTAAACCCAAGATGTACAGCATATCACCGAGGGAGTTGGAAGAGCTGAGAACATTCATTGAGAAAAACCTAGCAAGGGGTTTCATCAAGCCAGCCCGACCAAAAATTGCAGCTCCTGTGCTCTTTAGAGAGAAAAAAGATGGCTCAAAATGTCTCTGTGTTGATTTTTGTACCCTTAATGCGGTCAGCGTGCAGAACATGTATCCTCTCCCCCTTATGAAAGATATGTTAGCACACCTCGCTAAAGGGAAATTTTTTTTCAAAGCTGGACTTAAGGGAGGCTTACTACCATGTCAGAATTAAGGAAGGGGATGAGTGGAAAATGGCATTTAACACCCCCCTCGGCTGCTACCAATTCAAGGTGCTCCCCTTTGGGTTGCAAGGAGCTCCTGCAGTGTTTATGCAGTTAATAAATGAAGTGCTGCATCAGCATTTATATAAGGGGATTCTGGTCTATTTGGATGACATTTTAATCTATACTGCGACCAAAGCAGAACACGTAAAACTAGTCAGGGCAGTTTTAAACAAACTCCGCTCTGCCAAACTTTATGCCAAACTTTCCAAATGTGAATTCCACCAAGAGAAGATTGACTATTTGGGATACCGTATTTTGCACCAGGGGGTTGAGATGGATCCTCTAAAAGTGCAGGCTGTACTTGATTGGGACCCTCCACGCACACGTAAACAGTTACAGAGCTTCCTAGGGTTTGCCAACTTTTACCGCCAGTTTATCCCTGCATTCGCTCAGATTGCCCTCCGGATCACCAAGCTCTTAAAAACAAAGGGGGAGGACAACCCTAAACCAAAGCAACCATTGAACTGGACTATGGAATGCCAGGCAGCATTTGAAAAACTTAAACGGCTGTTCTTGGCAGAACCAATTCTAAAACACCCAGACAGGGAGAAACCATTTGTCATACAAGCAGATGCCAGTGATGTGGCAATAGGAGCGGTTCTACTTCAGAAGAATGAGCAAGACCAACTACAACCCTGTGCTTATACATCCAAAAAGTTGAATGAGACTGAACAAAGGTGGGCTATTTGGGAGAAAGAGGCTAATGCAGTTCGTTGGGCATTGTTAACCTGGCGGCACTTCCTAGAAAGCAGTAAGACCCCTTTTGAAGTCTGGACTGATCATAAAAATCTAGAAGCCCTAAAGACCCCAAGGAAACTCTCCCCAAAACAAGTACGATGGGCTCAGTACTTTAAAAGGTTTGATTTTACTTTAAAATATCTCCTGGGGGGGGGACTTTCTGGTGGATGCGCTATCCAGAAAACTGCAATACAATAGTGCAAAGTCAGACGTAATCAAACCTATAGTACAAAACAATCAACTAGCCGCTAAAGTAGTCACCAGATCCCAGGCAAAACAAGAAACATTGACGGACAATGACACCATCCAAACTTTTAAACAAGCATTGGCCACTGATGAATGGTTTTTGAACAACAAATCCAGCTGTCTGATGAAAGAAGACTTGGCTTGGGTGTGGGGGAAGTTGTATGTCCCTGCAAGCCAAAGACTGTGCTTAATGGTATGGTGCCATGACTCCAAATTAGCTGGACATTCGGGTTTGTGAAAACTTTACACCTGAATAAAAGACAATTTTGGTGGCCATCACTAAAAAAGGACATAGAAAGCTATGTAGCTAGCTGCCCCATTTGTGCAGCAGCAAAAAGATGCCAGGGAAAATCCTCAGGTCTATTGCAGAAGGTAGCTGAACCTTCTGCAATAGACCTGGTAATCTCATCCCTCAGACCACCTGCATCTACACCACCTGTGCCCATCATGATTGAAGGTGAACAACACTTTGAAATCAAGGAAATCCTTGATTCTAGGATCCTCAGAGGGAAAGTCCAATACTTAGTTGCTTGGAAACATTTACCATCAGCATACAATGAATGGGTCGCTAAACACCACATTAAGGCTCCAATCTTACTGAGAAAATTTCACTCCCAATACCCTAACAAACCTTGTTGATATACTATCATGAAATCTTGAAATCTTGTGTATATTTGTTTTTTTACAGGTGGACCCTTTTGTTTTCTAAGGAGGGTAGCATATCAGATCCCTAAAAGTGATACTGCCATTCAAGTGGAGGAAGGGGGAGACTTGAATTTGATTTACTAGCATTGCCTGTGTCATCAGATATTTTACAACCTATATCCTGGCGCCAAGGAAGCCTGAGATTTATATGATAGCCACGTGGGTTGTCTCACTTTAAAGGGTAGTGGTGGGAATGCATGTTTGTTCGGGTTCTCAAAGGAAATAGTAAAGAAAACATCTTCACACTTGTGTATTGGCTAAAATCTGCATTCTGACTTAAAGGGAGGGGTCTCTACCACTTTAATCCTACTGGCCTAAGGGTATTCAGATTGTGCTTTAGCTGGATGGCTTTCACTTCTGCTTAATAAAATAATCCTTTTGAACAACTATGTTTCAAGAGTTTGTACTTTCTTAAGTTGGAAGGAGAGGCGATCCTTACACAGGGAAGGAACTTTTGGGCAGCCATATACCTTGCTCCTTTCCGTCAGCACCTGGCTAAAAAGCCAGCCAGGACTTTGTTGGTTCCTTGCAAAATGCGATTCGCTGGTTGTAGCATGCATTTCTCTGCCCATAATGCATTTATTATTGCATCCTCTGAAGCCCCATCTGGGCTCAGCAGCACCTTTCTGCAATTCGTTCGCTTTATGGAGAGAGGGAACGAGCGTGGAATTCAACTGCCTGAGCCAGAGTTGTCCACAGGATCTTGACACAGGTCATTTTCTCAGAGGGGGAAACCCCCCAAGGAGGAGAGGGCCAAGGCGGGACCAGACAAGGGAGGCCAGGAGGCAGGGCCAGGCTGAGGCAATTCAGCTGGTTCACTGAACTGCACATAAAATTAACAAGAGGTTCTAGCGAACCAGCTGAATATCACCACTGGATTCAGTGTCAATTCTCAGTCTTTGAGATAGCTTCATATTAAAAAAGGTAAGACTGGATAATATTACTTCATGTAGCCTTTGCTTAAAATCTGAATTTTATAACATTATTTGGAAATCCTATCAAAGGAGAGTTTTTTTCTCTTTCTCCTTTCCAGTTTGTTTTTTTCATTTTTAGTTTTTGCTATCTTGTTTATCTAATTTATCTAATTTTTGCAATGTGGTTTTTTTAATGGCATCCATTTTAAATAAAATAAAATGCAATTCTGTTGTTTGCAACTGTTGATATTTGAAAGACTTCTGCAGGTATATATTATTTTTTGGTATGAAACTTCAAAGTGCACCAGGAACCAACACTTTGTTCTAAAAGTCCAGCAGAAAAACAACATCAATGATAAATCCTTACTTTTTCCTTTCTCTTTCTAGTATCCTGAATAAATCTTTAAAATACTGGGGCACTCGGACGACCACATTTTCTGAAGCATCAATGTCCTTCAGGTCAGGATAGAGTTTAGTGTCAATCACCTTCTTGATATATGCCAGCCAGTCAAACTGAAAGATATATAAATGTTTAGCGTTTGGCTCTTATTAAAAAAAAGTTGAGTAAGTTTTCACCTGACTGCAAAGTTGAAGTTCACTAAACATTGCAAATATTTTGAACTTTTCATAAAAACAGCTGCATTTAACTGTGACATATATACAGTATTTAACTATTTTAATTTAAATTGCACCTTATGCACATCTAAAGCAGCTTTCAATTTAGAAAGATAAATATCCAGTCCGATCATGCATTATCAAAGTTGTTTTCCAACCTGTGGGACCATGCTGCTGAGTTCTGAAATGTTCATTTTGTTATACATAGATTCACTGGTTCGATTCTCATGTGGAATCATTATCTGCAAAGATACATGTAAACAAATATTATGCTACTAAGAAATCCACTCTGACTCTGTTAACATCAACAGATCTTTTAATAGTTCCTTCACTGAAATAAGCAATATTACATCAACCCTGCTGATATCAAACATAATTATTTTATAATTATATATAAACAACCACTTTTCTGTATAACTATTTTAACAATTTTCAATATAACAATTTAACAATATAATTTATGCTTCTAGTTTTTCACTTTTACAGATAACTCACAATCATTCATTTCTTGTAAAACACACACACAGAGTAATTGTCAGTTCTATATTTTATTTATGTTTATCTATAAATAACTTAAACAACAAAAGGCATACCAGGCATCCTTTTCTTACCCCCCTGTTCAGACCATTCAACCATTCTCTAAATATTTGGTTCATTTTCCACTGACTTTGCTTTATTATATACAATCACATTTATCACATTTAGTAACTTATTTTTCATATCATATTCACATAAAATATTCCCTAATTAATCATATCCACTTCATCACACATTTTCTTTAAATCAATACAGTGAACTATCTTAACTACATCCAAACATTTCTCAGTGTCCTGAAAAGAAAAAATCTGGCAGCATAAAGACTCATTGCAGATCTTAAATTTTACTAATTGTTTCTCTCATTTTTTCAGTCAAAAATCTACTAAATTTACTGGCCCTTTCTACTGGCCCTTTCCACATATACACAATAAATAAATCCTTTCAAATTTTCCATTTAATCCTGCTAATTTTCTTTTTGAAAAGAACATTAATAGCATTTTCCCAATTATTAGATATAGATGCCAAATTCTCATACACACTAAAAAGAAATCATAAAGCCACTCCTTAAGTAAATTATATTCATATTTTACCTAGAGCCTTTTAATTTTTAACATTCTCACAGCTACTTAACTACTATTTTTCTTCCCTACAGCAAATGGGTTATAATTTAGGTTTGCTCTTGTTTTTTTGCTATTTATGTATAACTTGCAACCATTCACTTTTCTATACAACACACTTATCCTGAACACAAGTAATTGTCAGTTCTGTATTAAAAGCCCTTTTATATTTATCCATAAATAACTTAAACTACCCATATCCTTGCAAGATATTATTGCAAAATGTTTGGTCAGTACATAAATGGTTATTTGTCATTTTGTAAAACATTTATTTGGGCCTTGTTATTTATATACTTTTATGCTTTAAATTGTATCCTTATTAATTAATCAGTTTTTTGCTTGTTTGTTTGTTTTATTTAAGTTCTGCTTTAGCTTCTAAGATTCCACCCTGCTTTTCCCTGCTTTATAGCTTTAATATACAGGGTTTTTTCCCTGTGGCACTCTCCCTGTTTTACACTGATCAGTGCCTTGTTTATGTGTCTTTTGCATTTATTCATTATGCATTTGTATGTTATAAATGTTTGATGGAAAGTTTTACTCCATTATATACTGTATCTTGTAAAGGTATTTTTATTACTTCAGTCCACTGACAAAGAGATTTGTTTCAAAAATCAGTTTTAAAAACTCTATTATTCTGTTACTCTGTTATTCAAATGTTCTTCCAAAGACAGATAGAAGAAAATAACAGATGCAGAAGAGGCAACAACAATCAAGATGGCACACTGCTTTGTCACTGAATTACAAATCTGGGAAAGAACAGTTCTGAATGGAGAAATAAATCCAGGGTTCTTCTGAAGACTGGCTACCACAAGTGCAGCTAAAATCTATACTTAAAAGGGCACTAACCTCAGCAATTTTGATTTCTAATTTAAGCACTGACTTCATATCCAACTCTGCATGTGAAGCATTGGCACCCAAAAGGACTGAGATATCAACCATGAACTGGAACAAGGTATCTCTGTACTACAGTGGGGTAAGAATTCAGACATTAATACATAAAAAAACCACCAATAGCTCAACCAGATAACACTTCTTACCTTATTTTACATTGAATAGTCTAACATAGTACATTATTTACTTATTTTCATTTTTAGTTTCAGTAACAGTATTGCATTTTGATATTATTTAATGGTAAATCTTGCTAGCAGAATTAGCATTAATATCATCACAAATATTAATTAGCATGACATTTGCATTAATCAGCACACATTGAGAAAATGGATCCTTAGCTTTCTTCAAAAGTTTGGTTTTGAAAACATATTGAGGAACCAGGATGTGAACTTCATCTGTACTTCCTTTATTTTTCTATGTTATCAGGGAATATTTATCTACATATTCAGAAAACTAAACACAAGAAGGGAACTTGTGCAATATATGAATGATTGTAAAATTGTACTCAGCAAGACATCCTTGGTTGCAACTCATAAATCAACAAAGAAGATCGTGCTGCAAATAACAGTCAATATTGAAAAGGAACAGGGTCATGGAACAGGGCAGGGTTCTACTGATAATAAGTAACTGACATATTGGTCATGTTTATTGTTTAGAGTAGGGGAACATGTCAGAATGTGTTCAAATATTCAATTGCTGTATACCATTTTTTAAATCTTCCCCCATATTACCTGCTATGTTGGGGACGATATGTAATTGCTGCATAGTTAGTAAGTGATAAGGTATATATTCTCACATAATTAAGATTTTCTTTCAGCTCACTTTTCATATGATTTATGCAATTTTTAGCAGAAATATCATCTTTATACTCTGTATAGTGTACAAAATGAACACTTAGTTTCCAAGCCTGATTTTTTGCAGATGTGCTTGGATTTCACCTCCAGAATCCAGCTAGCACTTGGGAGTTGTAATTCCAGATAGGCTGGGAAAATATCCTGAATGTGATTGAGTAAACACTCACAGATTTAGCTTCTGTGGTATTGTCCAGGTAGTCTTCCCGTGCTGATAGAGTCAGAGATGCTTGATCTAACTATATAAATAAAATAAGAATTACTATACATTAGATCTACAAAAACACAATTTGGATTGTAGTTCTATAACCAGACTTCAAAGATAAACCCAAAGATTTAGAGAGACTACTTGTGAATAGATTTGTAGCAGTGTTGCAATACCAACATCCATTACAGTATTATAAGTTAAAGGGGATGGACAGAATTCAAAAGACATGAAAATGTCCACAAAAGCATTCTATTTATTAACCCTGGATGTTCTGCATTTTTGACAAAATCAATATGTAGACCTTGAGGAGTTTTAATGTTACCAAAAAAAATTGCTTCATCCCAAAAATATGAATATTTCATAGCAAGGCAACATAAGAACAATACATTTCTTCAAAAATTAAATAGAATATAGCAATGTACTTTCTGTAAAGATTATTGATAATTAAATCAGAAATGACTATAGAATGCCATCAGGAATACTGTTATTTTTTCAACTTTTAGTCATTTATATATATACATACTAATAACCAGATGTCAGGATGTTGTTGAACACAGATGTAAAAGTTTTATAAATACTGTTAACAAAATTAGCTGAAGAGTTAATCAAATACAGATTTAAAATATGCTGTACCTTCTTGCATATGTGGTTAAGGAAGGAATTCTCTGGGGTATAAATAGCTCATGTCCATGTGGTACTACAAAATTGCATTCCTTCTTTTTTGTTTAATTTTGAATGCTAAGAGGCTATCCAAAAGCTTATCCATGTTCTCTGCATGGCTTCCATAACTGTATACATTTATATATAAAGTGAATAACTAACTAAATAATACATCTATGATGTGTTTATTATCTCTAAGTTTGTTCCTATCTTTTATACACCATTACAATCTGCATGGGCTTCTAGACATGTTTATTTAAGACAACAATATAATAATAAGAAATATGTTACAGGCCTAGCAGTGGCACATAGTCACCATACCAAATGCTTTCTGGAAATGCAGTTTTTACTAGTTTGAAGAAGACCATTAAGATGGGCACTGATTAGACCTCCAGGGAAGACTGTCACATAATGCAAGGATCACAATGAAAAAAAACATTGGCTGTAATACACATGGGCCCCATCCCCAACAACTTTGTCATTGGGGCCATTAACTGAGTTTGTCAAAGAGCATACATCAGGTCATTCAATTCCATGTGAAAAAGGTCTGAAGGTACCTAACAGCCAAGCCGCTATCTTAAAAGGATGACAGCAATATGAGCCAGTTATATCGAAAAAAATTTCATTGATTGTAAGAAAGATGAGCTGAGTTAGAGAGGAGCTATCTTATTTGGATTATCAATCTTGGCAACTTAGCTATTGAAATTTGATATTGTAAAATTTTAACGTCATATATCATATATTTTTAGATTGTTATTTTTGTAACTGTTTTATCTTTTTCCCTTTTTCTTTTCTGTTTTGTTTGAAAAGGCCTTCGGGCTATTCAATAAACAATACTGTATAAAAAAAACAAAAAAACAACAACAACAGCCAAGCCATATAGGGTTTTTCAAGATAAAACTAGCAATTTGAATTCCACTTCAACCAATGCAGAATGGCTGTTTCTTGACTGTTGTTGTTCACCAGCAAGCAGACTACTGTATTTTGCACTTTCCAGCTTCTAGAATAGATGGTCTTTAAAGCCAGTCCTGTTTAGAACACATTGCTGTAGTCCAATTGCCAGGATCTGCTACTCCAGAATAAGGACAGAATACTAAATAATAAAATGAAATTAATTGAAAATACCACTTGTATGGTTTCCTTAATAATACCTTTATGATGTGCTCATTAGAAGCCTTATCATCTGAAGCCACATATAATCGGATGAAAACAGAATTGCTATATTGTCCGCGAAGAGTAGCAAGAGTCTGGAGCATGCTGAACTTCTTTTCTGACCACAGACCTTCAGGCCCAATGTTTGATTCCAGGACAGGCCAGCGAAATGGAGAATGCTTCAGCATGTTTAAAAGTGGTTTTGCATCAGCTTTTTCTATCTTATCTGGGAAAATGAAAAAAATAATCAGTCAACATAAAGGTCTTGCAAAAAAAATCCACTTCTAAAATCTGTATATTGATGTATGTCTGTATGTCTGTATATTGTTGTATACGTCTGCTTTCCTATCATTATGTATATTTCTCTACATCAAGTGAAATGTAGAGCCATTTCACCTAGAACCATAGATTTAGGCTAAACATAAGCCATTTTGAATAGCTTGTCTTGGCACAGAGAGCAGAAAAATGTATGTTCTTGCCATCTGTCTGTTCAGGCCTTGACTACTGTTCAGTCACTGGCAACCTTCAGAGCAAAGTCAAATCATCCAAGTTTTTGACTCAGTATGATGGATGGTCAGATTCTCCACTAGCTGGCCAGCATGCACCTGATTATGGCACTTCTGTATGGTTCTGCTAGAACCCTGATTAATACTGGCCATTGCTTTACATAATAATACATAATAATAATAATAAATACATAATAAAGGGCAAGGCTCTATCTCTACTTCAAGTTGCAGTTTTAGGTAACATAACAAACAGTAACATAATCTCTGGCTGTCAGACTTCACCCTCTTATTTTGAAACTAACTTACTGTTTTGCTTAGATGACTCTCAGATACAACTCAGCTATATTTGCTGACAAGAATGAAACCATGTGCAAACATTTATGTAATGTAAAAAACATTATGTAATAAAAATTTTATTACAAAGCCTATGCATAGGTCTGTCTTCCTAAATTTAAATTGAAGGCTTTATCTTCTCATCTTTGAGTTAAAATATAGTTGGAGGGCATTGGGGCACCTTTGTTGATATAAGAATTTTCTCTAGTATGGGAAATATTTGTTCTTTCTTCATTAGATTTTTTCTTACACTGTCTCCCTCCCCTTTCTCTCTCTGAATTTGCATGTAACAAGTTCTTCTTCTCCTCCTTCCTCTTTCTGGTCAATAGGTGTCTGAAAAGCATTTCCATTCCAGCTAAATGAGAATATCTCCTATGTTTTATGATTCACTGCTCACTAATATGTAGGCTCTAGGCTATATATTCAAGTTTCTCCTAATTAGAATCAAAAGCAATTAAATATTCATGACCTCATTCAAAGTTGAAAGTTCCACTGAGATCCAATTTTATATAAATGTGTACATTATGCAGCACTTTTCTTAATTTGAAATAAGGGAAAGATAGTTTCTACTTTTTTTTTTTTAGATACTTCTACTGTTTACATAGTTCAGGAAGTGAAAATCATAGACTACATATAGAGAGATGTCTTATTTTATTTTTTTGTCAAATGTTGTCTTAAATGTAAGAATTATAAGACGTAACCCTAACTAATGGTTGGCAGAGCTAATGGATTATATTACATGAAATGGAGGAGTCAGTTAATTTTTCTGGGGTGCTAGCTAAACTAAAGACTACAGTTGTATTTCAGGATTATTTTGAATTTGTGGAAAAGTGAGAATAAATATCAATAATCTGGGCTTCACTTAATTTCTGATGTCCAATCTCAGAAACTGTGACTCACTCATTTCTTCAACAATGCAGATTTGGAATGTGTAAATAATCTGCTTGAAAAATATGGTTCCTTCCCAAAAATGCAGTATTTGATTTATCAACAAGAAGGTGTCTTATCAGACATGTTTCAAGTGACCTAATCTCCATAATATAGATATAAACCTTTTCTTGGATAGATAGTTCAGTTTCCAAAGATTCATATATACAGGTGGAAGAAAAGAAAAAATGAAGTAAAAGAATGGTGGTATCTTTCCTTTTTGTTTTTACTGTAATTCCTCAAGTTGCTTTTGCACTGTAAAAAATTAACCCACCAAAATCTAAACATATGAACACAAATGTAGCCAATGTAATAAGTGCTTTATGTCCAGTACCTCTCAGATCTTGCAGAAAAAATAATATTTTCCTACTTCTCTGTGGCAAAGCTAAAATTCCTGCTATTCCTTCTTCATTCCTTTTATTTTGTTGCTTCCAGAGAGTTGGTTGAGGCATCATAGATGAAGTGTTAAAACTCTAAAATTTGATTTAATATCCCTCATTATTCTAATACATCATTATTTGATATTAGTTCTTCTTCCTCAGAGTTTCTATGTGAATCAGAATCCTTCAATCTTACTTTTGTACCCCTATAAAGCATCAATTAAATCATTTTCAATTCCATCCTAATATAACCATGAACTTAGTATGCTTTTATAATAAACCGCTTATTCAAAAGCCCTGTCTCAATCCTACTACTCAGTTCCCCTCCTGAAATTACTATTGTCAATCACCAATCAATCTGGTATTTCCTGATGTATTATAATACATTTGTCATTGACACCATCCAGCATAACAAATGAGCAATAAACTAGAAAAAGCTACATTAATGATTATATGTTTCATACACAAATATCAATAGTAGCCTATGACGTTATATAATTATTTAAGTGATATAATATTGTACAGATTGAACTGCAATCAGAAAAAAGTGCCCCATTGCACATATCTGAAATGTAAAATTCACTGCACAGGTATATTAGGACTTTGTTTTGAATTAATTTTGGTACATCCTTCTTCTCCTAATAGAGACTAACAGTTGTGCACCATATAGTTTCTAACACTATGGAAATAGTTACTCACTCTCATTCATACATGAAGAATAAAGTATCTTGGCCTTCTGTACAGCTTCATTGTCTCGTCTTTTGCTAAGCGGTTTTTCAAGGAGAGCTGTAAAGAATAGATTTCCCCCCCAAGACATTTGTTATTATTAGAAAACAGTTCAGAATCCTCAATGTAGATAAGATACCTGAATTCGTGGGAATATTTGTTTAGATATTTAGATTGGCTGCCATGGACATTTTTTGATTGAGGGACTTAGAAAATGTTAAACTACAAATGGTAAGAAGCGTTAGAGTTGCATTGAATATTATACTCTGTTCTGGAATGTCATCACTGGCATTTGAATGAATATTAAACACTGAAGAGAAAGGCTGAATAGCTCTCTCCTATTCTTGGTCAAAAATGGGAATTCTAATACATTCTTGCATCGTAGAATACTCCTATTCAAAATTCTAGTAGAGCCAGCAACAATTATATAACATCAGATACATTTTCACCTTTTATTTTATTGATAAGAAAGTGATGATGTTGGGATCTTTTGGGGAAAACTCTATGATTCTATGATTATTCTACCCAAATTATAATTAAATATTGCTCTGTTTCTTATATTGCATCATATATTGCATTTATTATATGAAAGGTTAGATTCTACAATTCTAATTGCATAATTAGAAATGTAAAAATCAATTATCTTGTTCCATTTCTTTAGCTGCCATCTTAATTTCCCTGAAACCATTCTAAATATTCTGGGGAGGGGGTGGGTTATTTTTACCTAGTTATCTATAACACATTCCAAGTCAATTGACTAAAGCCAGGATTTACCCAGAGCTGGGAAACAGGAAATGGAAACAGCAGGTGCCAAAGTTGGTATTTAAGAGAGCTTCAAAACAGTGAAATGTCATAATTTGTCTCATGAGTCATCTATGCACTCCAATGCAGGTTCAAGGGGTTTATGCTCTCTCACTTAAACTGTCGAAATTTTGTAAAATTTTCTACATTCAGAGAATTTACCTAATCCTGCCAGAAAGGCAAGGAGACATCTGTAGATGACTTAGAAAGAGAGAGTGTGTGAGACAGTCAGTTTAATCTAGCAGTTAAGACACCAGCTAGAAACCAGGAGACTATGAATTCTAGTCCTGCCTTAGAACTGAAAGCTGGCTGGGTGACTTTGGGCCAATCACTTTTTCAATTTCTGTAACAATGGATCGATCAACACTTGGTTGATCTGTTAAAATAAAAAGTGGACCTTGCACTTGGACAATGCTAAGGAGAGAGGGAGGGAGGGAGGGAGGGAGGGAGGGAGAGAGAAACAAACATATATACACACACAATAAAATATAGTAGATTCCTGTTCTTTTATACTTTATACTTTCTCTCACTCCTGTTTACTTCAAAGGTTTATTGTAAGACTATTATGGAAAAAACCATGGTTCCTTGATCATAAAATATATGTAATCAATAATAATCAAGAGTTTCCATTTTCCTTCATAATATAGCTACTTCTCAAAAACAACCGTATTCAGTATAAGAATTGACTTTTTTCCCTGAGTTGCTATTTCTCTACTTTAAATTGCATTGTTCTTTTAATTTGGATCTCAGATGAATTGGATGGAGCCAAGGAAGGGAAGAGCCCTGTCCTATGCTGCAGATTGTCTTACAAAGGTACAGTTAGAATCGACATCATCGGTTTAGGATATAAGCCTAAATAGAATATATTGTTATCCTAAGAGTAAATAGTAATATCCTATTAAAATGAAGTCTATCCTCCACTAAAAGCTAAATACTCCTACAGGATTATTTTCTCTCAGAAAAAGAACTGTTTTGAAACTAACTGTGTATTTGTGGTAAAGCCTTACCTCTAATCTTACTTGCTATTTCTAGCCCCTGCCACTTTCCCAGCCTACAATCATAGTTTCACTCTAGGTTTCATACCCTTCAACTTCCTTCACAAATTAAACTTCTTCCATTTAATTTATGAAGGGGAAAAAAATCCTACCTATGAAAAGTCAGACCTAAAATACTTTGATTGTGTTCTTGTCCTATCAAGAGTAGAAGTGGGTGAGGTGGAGTGATGATATTGCTCTTTCTGAGATTAAGCCAATTTTCCCCCTCTCAAATCATGTCCCCTGAATCAATATTACCACTCTTTCTTCTGTTCAGTAATTTTGAGTCTATACTTTGAGGATATTTGCATTGCTTCTGCACTGGTTTCTTGATGCCATTTTTATTTGGAAGAGGAAGTTGTTTTTGGCATTAACTGTCATTCCATATGATTACAACACTGGAAAGTTATTGACAAACCTCCCTTACATCTATGAATCAATATATTTTGAGAAAATGTGGGTTGCCATATATTCATAGGTTGTATAAACAGAGGCATCGAATCAAGATCATGTGAAGTATTACTACCACTTTATAAAAACCTAGTAAGACCACACCTGGAATGTTACCACCAATTTTGGTCATCATACTACAAAAAAGATGTTGAGACTTTGGAAAAAGTTCAGAGAAGAGCAACTAAGATGATCAAAGGTCTGGAGACTAAACCGTATGAAGAATGGCTACAGGATTTGGGTTTGGCTAGTCCAAAGAAAAGAAGAATTAGGGGAGACATGATAGCAGTATTCCAATACTTGAGGGGCTGCCACAAAGAAGAGGGGGTCAAATTATTCTACAAAGCACCAGAGGGTAGGCCAAGAAACAATTGTTTGAAACTACTGTAATCAAAGAGAGAAGCAACCTGGAATTAAGGAGAAACTTCCTAACAGTGAGGACAATTAACCAGTGGAACAGCTTGCCTCCAGAAATCATGGGCACTCCATCACTGGATGTTTTTAAGAAGAGTCTAGACCCCTGGTGGCGAACCTATGGCACACATGCCAAAGGTGGCATGCAGAGCCCACTCTGTGGGCACACGCACTGTTGACCCAGCACAGTATGCCATAGGGCAGGCATTGGCAAGCTGTGGGTTTTTTGTCCCTCCACTGTGGCTCCCTGTTGGGACCCCCTTGCCCTCCCCTCCCAGTCACCCCAAAAGAGACTTTGAGGGCTGAACACTGAGAGGCATGGATTTCCTCCATCTTCTGCATTCCCATCCCACGCTGAGGCGAACCAAACGGGCCAGGGTATCCACGCCAAGCGGCCCCACCAAGCCCACTTGCAAACTCCACCGAGCACAGCTCCAAACATTCGGCTTTGCATCCCTCCTGGCCAGCACCAATGCCACGGCGGGGAAGGTGTATGCCCTGCCTGCTCCGCTCTTGCTGGCCAGAGGTGGGGCTCCATGCCACTGCCTCCCAGCCGAGAGCCACATTTGTTTGCTTGCTGGTCACCTCTGAGGAGGGAGCTGCACTCAGGTTGCCCGGGCCTCCACAGCGGGGGAGAGAGGGGGAGGGAAGGAGGGTGTCTCCCCAACAGGATCCAGGTTAGAGTTGCTTTATTTTGCATGGATCTCTAATGTTTGGCTTTGCCTTCCAGCCTCCACTCCCCCTCCACAGCCCAAGTGGTTGGATTCACATGACACATGAAGCTGGGCAGGAGAGCAGGGATAGATAGATAGACAGACAGACAGACAGACAGATAGATAGATAGATAGATATGAGAGAGAGAGACAGACAGAGAGAGAGAAAGAGAGAGAGGGTGAGACAGAGGGAGAGAAAGAGAGGGAGGGAGGGAAAGAGAGAGAGAGAAAAACAGAGAGATAGAGAGAGGGGGAGGGAGGGAGGGAGGGAGGGAAAGAGAGAGAGAAACAGAAAGAGAGAAAGAGACAGAGATAGACAGAGACAGAGAGACACACACACAGAGAGACAGAGAGCAAGAGCAAGAGAGTGAAAGAGAGAGAGGCAGAGAGAGGCAGAGAGATAGAGAGGGAGGGGGAGGGAGGGGAAAAGAGAGAGGGGGGAGGAAAAGAGAGAGAGAAACAAAGAAGGGGAAGGGAAAGAGAGAGGGGGAAGAGAGGGGGAAAGAGAGGGAGGGAAAGAGAAATGATATTACAAAAGTTTTTCTTTTTTATTGTTGCTAAACGCAATATTTCAAAATCAGGAAAAAAATGAAGAGGCATAAAAGTGCATTTATCACGTTTTTCTTAGAAAAATTAGCTGAACTCTGCCTTGTTTATCATTATTTTAGGTAGTAAAACCTCATTATGCAAGTTAAATTGCCCTGTTGGCACTTTGCGATAAATAAGTGGGTTTTGGGTTGTAGTTGAGCACCCAGTCTCTAAAAGGTTCGCCATCACTGGTCTAGACAGTCACTTATCTGAAATAGTATAGGATCTCCTGCTTGAGCAGGAAGCTGGACTAGAAGACCTCCAATGACCCTTCCAGCTCATTCATTTTACTCATAGGAGTAAAATGGTCACAGAAAAGAGGCAAAGAAGGTGAAAACTGATGCAGAAAGCTGGGAAACAATTGTTTAGTAAGATTTGAATGTGTGGTACACATCTTTTACCTTAAAAGCTAAATATACAACTTTGGAACAAAACACAGAATTTCAATTTATAATATATTCATAAGGTGGCAAATTCATGTCAAACCTCATCTCCAGGGTTTATTGACAGACTTCATGTAAAATGTCCATTTTCTTCATCTTTGGCAGGTGAAATTTTAACCCCAATATCTTGATGGGGCAAAATTTCTCCAGATTTCACTAGAAAAACCCTCAAAACATTTTTAGTATTCTAGATCTAGGAATCACTGGGCAGTTTGAACAATCATTATGTTGTTTCCTTGGTTTTTTTTTTCACCCCAGAGCTACAAGAATACCTGTTATTGACTCCACAATGTACAGAAAATTTATTCAAATGGATTATTATTACAACATTTTTTGAAAACAACAATCCCCTCTATGACATTAACATTGGCATCCTTCAGTTTCAAAAGACTATGGTATCGTGCTCTGGAAAGAGGTTCTAAAACAGCATCTAGTGTGACTAAAAAGACCAATTCGAGTGTGGCAATTCCTTCCACACTGAGGGCAGACACATTCTGTCCCCTGCCCAGCCCCCAGATTTCACTGGTTCCAGGACTGCCTCTTTGCCTCAGCCTGCCAAACAAGTGTCTCTTTGAATTGGAGAAGGCCATGTTATGTCTTTAGCCTCCAAGCTGAAC